TATTACATATGTATAATATTGCGTATGAATGTCAGATTTAATTATTAATATCCACACTAATTCATTGAAAAACTAAATTAATTACAAATGTCAATCCGCAACGTAGATAGATAGATAGATAAACACTTTATTCACTAGTATGACACAAATACAGATTTAATACAACAGGAAAAATAAAACATTTTTGTTATAGCAGTGAAATGGTGCTGACTCAGCATATGTCAAAGTTCCCTAAGGCGCTGGTTTTCAGTCAGAATCAAAGAGAGGTACTAAATCTGGACTTCTAGATTAACCGACTTCAAAAAAGGAGTAGGTTCTCAATTCGACTGTATGTTTTTTTCATTTGTATATATATTACGCGATAACTCCGGTATTTGTGAACCGATTTTCATGATTCTTTTTTTGTTGGAAAGAGGGTACTTCCATAGCGGTTTGAAGAAAGTAATTCACCTCTAAGGGTGGCTGTTCACGCATGAAGATTCATTTTTATAAATAGCGCCTAAATTTTATTATAAGGTGCAATTATTTTAATGGTTGATTTTGCTATTCTCCAATTCAAGGCGTTTTTCTCTCAATATACTTTGAATAGTGAGAACTGATTTTTATTATCTCCTGTGTCAAGTCCTGCATAGTGGCGAACTAGGGGATATTTCAATAAAACTTGGCAAATAGACGTAATTCCACGTACTTTTGAGGTCGGTTGTTTAATACTCTGTACTGAGTTTATTTATTTGTAATGAAAGATCTAACAAACGACTAGGAGGGAAATTGTTGATTAAAATAATAAATGTAATAAAGTGTGAATAGTGATCTAAAGTAACCTATTCAATATGTAAGTGCATGTGCGGATTTGAATACACATATTAAGTGTAACTGTAAGTGAAAATAATGATTGTGAATATGTTTTGGTGTAATAAATCAAAGTAATATTATTATTAATATTAAAATTTCAACAAATTGGACAGATTTTTGTAACGATGTACGAATGTATTTCTGTAACGTAGGCTTCATATACCCAGAAGAAATGTGTCAGGATTACGTTTGGTCGTGAGTGTTGCGTACCTGACTTTAGGAAACTGAAGATATTGACCCTAAGATTGACCCTATCATCGATGTACATTTACGAGGCCTGTATTTTTGTCAAACAAAATCTAAGCACTTTAATTTAGTCAAAACTAGACATCCTACAAACACAAATAATAAGAACAACGACCTAGCAAATTAGAATTTTACTGTAGAACGATATTTGTATTAATATCCAAATTATTTATCTAATTACCAGACGCTCTAAAAGAATTAAATAGTAGACAATATAAATGAAATTGCGTAATTTTTTAGTTACTATGCGCAATATTGAATTGATGATTTTTTACTTCCTAATATAAAATGTAACTATTAATATTTTTTATTAAATTCTAATTGTTATTTATGCTATTGTATAAACATTTCAAATTCTACATTATGCCTACGTCAAAAGTAAATGAAGACGTGTGTAAATTATTTGCGTGGCAGGTTTTGGTGAACTGTACGATCTAACAATAATATCTAACAAATTAGTAATTAATGTTTTATTGTATTGTTACCTATATATGTTAGTCTATAAGGTCTGTATTTATGGATATTTGTAACCTGAATACGTAATCGACATTTTTAGCGAAATTGAGTTATCAACATGTCTGGGACCAGCGAAACTGGATCTACAACCCACACTACTCGTTTTTTTAAATATAAATAATAGACACACGCTTGGCCACAATCTCACCTGATGTTAAGCGACGATGTGATCGACGATGGTACGCGTTTGAGTTTGCCTAAAAATGCCTATTCACTCTAGCCTTGAATAGCCAAATTGTATTCCATTCCTCCTATAAAATAGGATACTTCGGTCCACAAAAATATATTCCATAGTTAAGTCAAACGGAAAAGGCTGTAACAGGAAAAGGTACATAAAAAACAGGTACAACGCTTCTAAATACTCCCTACTTATATACTAAAAACATGAGACAGAACGAAACAAAATGAGAATGGCAAGGCACACGGATTAAAGAACGATTCAAAATTTGAAAACAAGTGGCCAGGATCCAGAGAAAAGGTGGAATAACGATGGAAGGAGGTCACATCGTCACAGGGTATATCGACGACATAAGGATGGAGTGTTCCGGACCTTCCAGGTCGAACCAAATTGAAAAGTTCCTGCGCACACTTCCCGAAATGTATCCGATTTTTATATCTAATTCAGTTTCTGTTTTGTTGTTAAACAAAATCAGCGTAATTGACATTTCTCAAAGATAAAAAATTGGGTGCCACTATCTTGAAGTTACCAAAATGTAAGTGCGTCAGTTATGACAAGGTGGGCAGTATTAAATCATAACACTATAATAAAAAATTATGGCTTTCACGGTTCTAATTTTACAACATTATTAAGAAAAACATGTGGGATGTGACCATCATTGAAATAAAAATATAATTTATTTTACAACGAGATAGGTAGTGTATTAATGTGGACAGAGCATTTAAGCTATTTGTTATTGCGATGGTTGTGTGTAAAAAGTGTGTTTTTTTTTAGTCTGTTGCCACTATCATCATGTTGTCGAAAACACGTATTTGTTTAAGAAAGTCTGTGATGTGAATACTAAACTCTGCAGAAACCCGAATAGACTTGTACTTGACACTATTCCTATGACTGCTAAATGCAGTAAAAGTTGTTTAAAAATATGCGTTGACATATATAATAAAATACCATTTGAGATTGAACTATTACACTTAAGTTTATTTAAAACAAAGCTGTACAAGTGGTTAAATAAAAACAATTTTTATGACCTAAACGAAATATTTGACAGGAAATTGAGAAGTAAGATTTTATCTTGAAGGTTGACATGTTTGTGACATTTTTTTATTATTGTGTTGTGGTAGTCTGATTGATATTATATATAACTAGACATTTGCATGCTATTTAATATATGCGAAACATGTTTGTACTGGCACTGTCTCTTATAACATTTTTATTATTTTGTTATGTTCGTCCAAATACCTAGTTGGCATGCTGGGTCAGAGATACCTACCTACTTCTCGTCTTTAGTGGAAGGGACACACAAGTCGTGCGCCTGGGTACGTCAGCATTACTGCGTTCCGATTTTGAAGGGTATGGGTGCTGGTGAAATTACAGGCACATGGGACTTGTGTCTCACGGTGACGGGCGCAGTGGTATTGCCCCTCAGATCTCTGTGATTTAAAGCTCTGAGTGGCACTGCATGGACAAGCCTGTCGCTCACCTCTGAGCGCACGATTTGTACGTTCCCTCGCTTGGTATTACAAAACAAAAGCCTTCCCAGTTTTTTTTACAGATGGACATTTTAGGTTCTTTGTTTTGTAGTCTTTTTTTTTTAAAGAATTTGTTTATTTAATAAAAATATGATCTAGTTCTTAAACGTTATTGGTCGATAAGAACTACCAACCTGCAGATGGCCACTTCTGACCGCTGTCGTTGCCTTCTATACTACCCCAAATGGCTTTGGCATCCCTTTGTAAACAATATATAGTAAAATTGAGGACAGAAAAAAAGAACACAAATTTACTTCGAAATTTTAGAAGTAAACCGATGTATTCAATACTTTACATATACCAATGATTTTTTTTTATATCAACTGATATAAATAGAACACATACCTACTACCTATACGACATACATTTTGGCTTTAATTATTTGTAAAAAAAAATATTTGTAAAAAAATAAATTTTGCATTCCACCTAAGTAAAATGAACCGTATTACTATGGGAAAAATTTGAATTTCAACTGACGTAGTATCGACTCTAAAGGTGCTAAAATATCGACTTTGCTGACTGTACGTAGGTGTACTAGACTGAAGTGTAAACTTAAGCTTGCCGCGCACTGTATATCTTAAAGGTAATAAATTCCAAAGCTCTTTTAAAATATTGTACCACTTTATTAAGCTTGTAATTTTTTACTATATAATTATTAGTAATATTTATTATTATTACATAATCTTCATTGAATAAAGCCATAACCATCGGTCGTTATAACACGTAAAACGCTCGTTCCATAATTTCAATAAAGTAATTAACCGTGGAAACTAACTGCCATTAAAGTAAAGGTAACGAAATATGTAAAACTAGTTGTAGCTCGTGATTTTGTTCGTGTTATTTATGAAATTAATTTAAGTTTCTTATCTAGGTAAATTAGTCATCCATAAACTATATTTTATCGAAATTCGTTCAGCCCTTATAAAGTAATTTAATAACAATTTAATATCGGCATAATAATAGTTCACTGTTTAGTGAATTTAAACCATTATACGCAGCAACGTTTTCTTGTAAATAACCAACGGATACAGCAATAAGTCTGTCTGTGTTGCCACAATTAACCGATGAACTATAAATGAAGGAAAGTGGCAATTTCTCCGGTGACAAACGCCAGCTTATCGACGCTGAATAATGGAGCTCGCAGTTAGAGTCGCGTCTTCATCCTGGTAATTAAGTGCCCCCCACCGGAGCCCGCGCACCCCGCGCCTTCCCCGCGCACACCCGCCGCAGCTAAATTAATCACACCACGAATCTCGCCCCCCAATCCAGGGCCGGATTAAAAAGTTTTATTGGAGAGGCGACTGCGATAACCCGGCGCGCCTAGTCGCTTTACCTCCACCTATCACAATCGCTAAGCAATAAAGCTCTGCGCTCCCATTGGCCGAGCAGAAACAAGGCCCGCCCATGTTCACCGCCCGGCACAGGGCTGTCACCCGCCACGTCAGTCGAGCGAGGCGCGTCGACCCGTCAGCCGTATCTCGCGGTGGCTTCGGTGTTTTTGTGAACAGTACCTCAACGGACTTCGATATTTTTCGGTGACTGTTCTGTGATGGATCTGTGAACTGACGATGGAGGAGGAGTCTATGTCGGGACACAGCTGCTCCGAGGACGATATCAGTGTTGGTCGACCATCGCCGGCGCCGTCGCGGACGCCGTCGCCGCAGGATTACTTCAGACCTCTGAAGAGGCTTAAGATGGCTTCGGAACCCCCGGAAGAAAGACGAGGCGATGGCGTGAAGAGTTTTTCTATACTGGACATTTTGGCGCACAGTCCCCGGACACCGCCGCGTATTGTGAGGCCGTGGGATGCGTCTGGGTTTGAAAGGTTGCAGCGGTTGCAGCGTTTGGCGGGCGCGGCTCTGTTGGACGGAGAGCGGTGGAGATTGGCAGCACTAGGGCTGCTAAGACCTCGAGAGCTGGCCCCAGCGGAGTGCTGCGATTCGGCGTCGGAGCGGTCGTCGTCGGCCTCCGACTGCTGCTCGGAACCACGCCGTGTGCAGCCGCAGGCCACCGCACCGCACACACCGCTCGACGCCCTCTTCCACATGACCAGCAAGACCTTCGAGGCGAACAATGCTGATAATGGAGGTATGCCGCCTTTCTTATATTTATTTATTTTACTAGGGATAAAAACAGCAATACGCTAATAACAAACGGTCTTATTACTAATTTGTACATAATTATGTGCTACCAACAATATCGTCCACGAATTATACTAGGTATAATAATGTTCATGTTGCATTTTAATTATAACATCTTGAAAATAGAATATTAGTAAAGGGGAAATAAAGGCCAAATAAAAGGTGGATGGATAAGAAAGGTTTGGAGTACCTATGGAAATGACGGCTGATAGGGGAGTGTGGAAGAAAAATACATGTGGGACAAGGACAGGAAGAATAATAATAACATTGGAAGACGTGTTCTAAATGCCAAATTCTAGTTGATTAAATAGGTATTCAGTAATTCTATAACAGCTGCACTAAATTCAGTTTTTGATAGGTGTACAATGTCTAAATGCATCAAACGATCGTTATACAATTGACTTATAATCTATTCTTTGAGATATGTGGGTTTATCACATTGCGTAGCGTTGAAGCTATTAACTTTTGAGTACAAATCACAACACGAGCAATTTTCGGGACGGGAAAAGTTTAGTACTAAGAGGTATATGATATTTGTTTTAGTCTACAACCAAGAGTAAAGCTCTTTTTTTAGGCCTATCAATAGACTCATCGCGAAATTTATGAAAGCTAAAGGTTGGCTGGTTTCTCTCAGAGAAAACTTTAAGGGAGACTGGTATCATGACTGTGGCATCACAATACATTTATTCATATAAATAAAAATTTGATGTGCCCGTAAAAATAAACATAATTTCAATAAGAAAGAAGATATAACGTTAGAGCTAAGTCCAAACTCATGGTACTACGATTTCGTTTAACGAAGGTAAACAACTCTTTTATGGGGAACTGTATACGTTTTTACAATAAGATTCCGGAGCATATATTAAGTTTATCATTTCCTAAGTTTCAAAACTACATTAAAAATATTTTGATCGAAAAGACATATTACAATAGTACAGTAGAGTAATTTCACAAAAAATAATTGAATATCAATTCAATAAACATTTAAGTCATATTACAAAGTTAAAGACTACGTGTTACATAAAAATGTATGGAAAGACGACATGGCTCCAGATTCCACACAAATTTGATTCAAATTCCATAGCATTTAAGTTTATTTGGAAAGAGCAAGAGCAGTAGCTTAAATGTGACGTTGTCAAGTGTAAATTTATTGTACCTATGGAATAAATGACTCATTAACTTTGACTTTGAGTCATAATCAAAGTGTGGAGATCCCTCCTTAATTCAATTACACTTCTTATTGCATCGATTAAGAGTCTATACTTCATCAGCTCGAATAAATTTTTTTCCCCGTACTAATACGGTTCATTTTGCTTGGGTAGAGTGGCAGGGACACTGGCTTTATTTTAAAACCATTTCAAAAATGTGTATCGTATAGAAAATTGAATATGATATTTAAAAATCATTGGTATATTTAAAGTATCCATTGAAATACAGAGGTTTTCTTGTAAAATTTCGAGGTAAGTTTGTGTTTTTTTAGGTATCGGGTTTTCACATCTTATAGTAATCAGTATATATTTTTTCCAAACTTATTGGTTCAACCCTTGTTCAACCCTTGCACTGTTATGCTGATACAACCAAAGTCTCTTGAGGTATTATAGAATCTTAATTAAAACAATAGCTAATGCTAGATTTTATAGACTTTTAATCTGTTGATACTTGAATCTAGTCAGTTTTAAACGCTTAAATGCCTAATTAAGTGTTGATGAGTTTGATGCTTCTATCTACTTAATAGTATCTTCATGAATAGTGAAAAGATTATATTAAACGTTCATAAATAATAAAACTGGGATAGTAACAAATCTATTCAATTAAAATTATCAATTGAATAGCTTGCAGTTCGTTTTTAGTACATACTTGTACGAGGGAAGACTCCTACGCCGCTACGGAAACACAGTTAAAGTGGCAACATTCTATTCAATGTCAATATTATAATTCTGAAAATAAACAAAGCGTCTTCATTATCAAGAAGAAGCTTCTATAACTTGTATTAGAATTAACGCCATTCTTCTCTTCTACAATAATTGTAACTTTTTTATATAAAAAAAACCGACGTCAAAAGTGGAATTACATCTATTTGCTAGTTTTATTGAAAACGGTTACCGGAGTGTGCGAAACCGGTTTCATACTCTAGTTTGCCACCCTTAGAGGTGGAATATGTTTTTAAAATTTAAACGGGACCAATACTGAGGTAGCCTCTTGCCAATAAAAAAGAATCATCAAAATCGATCTACAAAATCGGACTAATCGTGTAAAATACACGCAAAAAAATTTGATCGAATTGAGAACCTCCTCCTTTTTTTGAAGTCGGTTAGCAAAACATAGCAAAGTACTTAGTAAATCAACAACTGTTTAATTAACTAAATCTCATAATCAACTTGCAAGGTAGGCTAGAGACAAATGTACGTACTTTAACAAAAAACTACGTACAAGGCCACATCTGCAAAATTACAACTTTTCAGGACAGACCTTTAAAGACTCTACGAAGGAAACCAGTCGTTAATATTACATACATGTACATAATTTACTATATACTGTAGGGTCTTCATTAATTCATATATACCATAGAGCTCCGTGTGAAAGAGTTCGTCCAGGGAAGTACTGCCACCTCACCTGTTTCTGCCGCCTAGCAGTACGTAATAGCAATACGTTTTTACAATAAGATTCCGGAGCATATATTAAGTTTATCATTTCCTAAGTTTAAAAAGTACATTAAAAATATTTTGATCGAAAAATCATATTACAAAATTGAAGACTACGTGTTAGATAAAGATGTATGGAAAGACGACATGGCTCCAGAATCCACACAAATTTGATTCGAAGTGTATTCCATAGCATTTAAGTTTATTTGAAAAGAGCAATCCCTAGAGTTTCTTGCTCGTTCTTCTCAGGGAGGTCAGCGTAGTGAACGAGCAGTAGCTTAAATGTGACGTTTTCAAGTGTAAATTTATTTCACCTATGGAATAAATAATCTTTGACTTTGACTTTGACTTTGACTTTGACAGTAATGTGAGCATTACTGCGTTCTAAGAGTAAAGGTGTTGGTGAAATTACAGGTACATGGGACTGGTCAACTTATGTGTCAGACGTTTGCGATTTAAAGCTCTGAGTGGCACTGCAACGTTATGGACAGGCGTGTAGCTTGCCATCAGGCGTACGACTTGGTTGTCCCGTCACCCGGTATTATTAAAAAAAATTGTTTCATGTAGTTCGCAATTATTTTATGACTCGTGTGGTAAAGGCATTTTTGATGTACTTGCGGGTAGGATTGTATAAGTAGAACTAAAGTAATGGACTGCCGTATTACAATTACAGTTACAAATTATTTATTGTTCTTTGTGGAATCCTAGAGTCATGTCGTCTTTCCATACATATTTTTCTAAGTGACATGACTTTTCAATTAAAATAATGTAGGTTTTAAACTTAAGAAATGGTAACCTTAATATATGGCCCGGAATCTTATAAAAGAATCAGTTTTTTCAACCTCCTTTAAAATAATTACTTGAGCGGTGTTGTTTGCTATGAGACGATATGGTAATGGTGTTCAAGGTAGGATAAAAAGGTGTTATTCTGGGCAAGCCAGACCCATCGTAACGCCTCATCCTGACAATAATTTATATTGTGGTGATACGTTAAACAGAAATTTTTCCCAATCATATTATCAAGCTCAAAAATACAAGTCGCAAATTAACAAGATTTTGGCACGACTTCGTTCGTTCGAGTTTCTTATTTATGTTTCCTATTATAAAAACAAACGATTTCTCTTTTTGTATGTCACGTTGACAAATGTTTATTTGGATTAATTGAGATAATGGGCACCTCATTCAGAGGCAATTGTCCGAGACAGATCTCGGAAATAAAACAAAAGGAATTAGATCTATTGTGAACTAATTCATTGAGTTATATTAATTAGTTTGAAAGATTGTGTTTCTCATATTGTTATTTAAAATAATTTTATGCGAAAGATTGTATCGTTTTCTTTTCTTCAGTAATCATCATATGAATTTTAGTAGCAGTAGAGTTTCTCCAGTGAAGTACTGCTACCTTATCTTGTTACTCGTTGCTGCGTTTTGTTTTTGAAGGATACTTTTCAACTTATGTCTTAGGATGACGGGCGCAGTGGCAATGCCCTCCGAGGTTCTTTGCGAGTTTAAAGCTCTTAGCAGCACTCCAACTGTTACGGCAGTAAGCGGTACGCCTGTCCATTGTAGCAGTGCTGTTCAGAGGTTTAAATCACAAAGATTTTAGGGATACTGCCATTACGCCGCGGAAAAAAATAAAATGGGTTACTGCAATACATTACTGCATTCCGGCTGTGAAGGGTAAGAGCGCTGGTGAAATTACAGGCACATGGGACTTTTCAACTTATGTCTCAGATCTTTGCGATTAAAAGCTCTGAGTGGCATTGCAACTGTTACGGACAGACGCGTCTTTTACCATCAGGCGCACGACTTGTTCGTTTCTTCACTTAGTATCATAAAAAAAGCATTGAAAAGAGATCAAATGAGGAAGTTTCGGAAAGGTTCAGGTTGGGAAGGAGAGAAGTCTTTTGAATGCAATAGAGAAGAGACGGACGAAAATGTTTGGGCATTTGTTGCGTAATGACAAATTTGTGAGTGTGATAATTGAGGGGAGGATAGAAGGGAAAGAAAGAGAGAAATACCACAAATGACGTATAGTGTAACAAATAAAAAAGAAGATCAAAGTAAACAGCTATAAAAAGGTCAGACTATGAACCGTGAGGAGTGGAGGAGGCTACACCGACAACAGTCTGGTTCTTAAATAAGATGATGAATGTCACTGTTAATGACACGTAAGTTGATTTATTTATTTATTTATTCATTTATTGCACCGCAATTTACGCTAATTTATATTAAATTGAATTACAGAAGTTCTAAAGTTGAAATCAATAAAAATAACATTATTAACATTATTCATAACATTAAA